TGTGGTGTTTAATAGGCAGATGTCATCCGCCGAATCCAATATCCTAAATGTGCCATTTGTCCACCCAATGCCTGTTTCAATGTCTTTGTTCTGTGTCATTACAAAATCGATCACAGTTCCCAAAAGCACAGGTGTCTAACGCCAGTATTCAAGTATTTACTTCAAAAGGTGTAAATAGTTATCCTTCAACTAGGACACAGCAGCTTGCTTTGGTGTATAATAATCTTATACAGTGCAATATTTTGGTGGGGATGCCATAAGTTGCAAGAATTTTCCACAGGGCCCAACGGTCTATGCTGTCAAAGGCTTTTTAAAGTTCACAAAGTTCAAAACAATTGGGGCATCCCATTCTTCCCTTTGTTCCACAATAGTTCTCAATGTACAGTTGGTCTGTACATAATCCGTCCCAGTCGAAAACCCGCCTGTTCCTCTCTTAGTCTCTCATATGGCTGCTTTGAAACGAGACAAAATAATAGCGCAAAATAATTTTCCATAACACGAAACAATTTTCCAGGCTCTGATAAAAGCGCTACTCCTCGCCAATTGCTACAGTCTTTTAACTCCCCCTTTTTAGGTAGTTTTATGATACATGTATGCCCTTTCTCCATTCCATTTCGTAAGAAAGCAAAAGTAATGTCTCACGAGCTTCTTTTCCAATCGTTTTAAGCTTTTGTTACTTTTCATTTTCATGATTGTTGCTAACATTTCCGGCATGGTTATTTTGTCCGTACGTATGTTCAACTCCTCCATTGGTTGCACGTTGTCAAGTTGAATTTATTTGGCGGGGGCGGTCTATTTAAAATCTCTTGAAAATGCTGTGCCCATTGATCGTTTCTGTCTTTTAAAGTTGTTGCCATGGTGCCATCTTTCTTTTCTACTGATCCTTCTAATGACTTTCCAAAGTCTCCAGCTAGTCTTTTTGATTTAATTCTCGCATGTCATTTCTGTTTGCCGCTTCTTGAGCTTTGGAAACTTGTTTCTATTTTCTCGCCTTTCTTTTGATGTTTTTTGGGTCAGGGGCGAAGGCTGACTTGTTTGACAGGGTAATCAAAGTGAAATGGGACCAGATAGGGCCTGGAGATATCACTCACACAAGTCACAA